GGGGAAAAAAGGGGAAAAATGGGGGGAATGGGGGAAAATGGGGGGAAAAAGGGGAAAATGGGGGAAATTGGGGGGAGGGGGGAAAATGAGGGAAAAATGGGGGGGAAATGGGGGAAAAAAAGGGAAGAGGAAAATAGGTGAACAAAGGGGAAAAATGGGGAAAAGGGAAAAAAGGGAAAAGGGGAAAATGAGGGAAAAAAGAGGAAAAAAGGAAAAGGGGGTAAAAAGAGAGGGGATGGGGAAAAAAGGGGAAAAGAGGGAAAATGGGAATAATGGGGGAAAAGGGGAAAAAAGTGGGAAAAAAGGGGAGAGAAAATGGGAAAAGGAAGGAAAAATGGGGAAAAGGGAAAAAAGGAGGAAAAAGGGGAGAAAAGGGGAGAGAAAAAGGAGAAATCTGGGGAAAATGGGGAAGAAAAGAAGAAAAAAGTGAAAAGAGGAAAAAGGGGGGAAGGGGGAAGGGGAAAAAGGAGAGAAAAGTAGAAAATGGGAAAAAGGGGAGAGAAAAAAGGAGAAATCTGGAGGAAAAAAGTGCGAAAAACGAGGAAAAAAGCAGGGAAAAATAGGAAAAAAAGGGAAAAATGGGGAAAAAGGAGAGAAAAGTGGAAAATGGGAAAAAGGGGAGAGAAAAAAGGAGAAATCTGGGGGGAAAATGTGCAAAAAACGGGGGAAAAAGCAGGGAAAAATCAGAAAAAAAGGGAAAAATTGGGGGAAAAAGGGGGGAAATTGGAAAGAAGGGGAAAAGGAGGAGAAAGAGGAGAAAAAAAAGAGAAATATGGAGGGGAAAGGAGAAATACGGGAGGAAAAAGTGCGAAAAATGGGGAAAAGAAGGAAAAAAGGGAAAAGAAGGAAAAGGGAGAAAAGAGGGAAAAAAGGAAAAATGGGGAAAAAGGAGAGAAAAGTGGAAAATGGGAAAAAGGGGAGAGAAAAAAGGAGAAATCTGGGGGGAAAATGTGCGAAAAACGGGTAAAAAAACGGGAAAAAATCGGGAAAAAATCGGGAAAAATCGGGGAAAAATCGGGAAAATTCAGGAAAAATTCAGGAAAATTCAGGAAAAATGGGGAAAAATGAAGAAAAAGCGTCCCCTCACCGCCAGGAGCTTGCGTCCCTCGTCGTCCAGGGGCGGCAGGACCTTGGCCAGGTCCTGGCGGGCCCAGCGGGGGAACGTGGCTTTGTAATCGGGCAGGGCCGACACCCCCGGCCAGGCGGCCTCGTCAGGAGTGCCCAGGGTCCGGAAAATGCGGAACAGCTGATCGATCTCCGAGTCACCGGGAAACAGGGCACGGCGGGTGATCTGGGGACACCACAGGGACATTGGGGACATTGGGGACACAGCCTGGGGACAGCTGATCGATCTCCGAGTCACCGGGAAACAGGGCACGGCGGGTGATCTGGGGAC